GCATTCAAAGCACCCCTGACAGATGGCCATCCAGCCTCTGTTTAAAAGCCTCCAAAGAAGGAACCTCCACCACACTCTGGCAGAGAGTTCCACTGCTGAACAGCTATCACAGTGAGGAAGTTCTTCCTAATGTTCAGGTGGAATCTCCTTACATGTAGTTCGGAGCTATTGTTCCACATCCTAGTCTCCAGGGCAGCAGAAAACAAGCTGCATGGCCCTCATCATGACTCCTCTCAGCCTTCTCTTCTGCAGGCTAAACATGCCCAGCTCTTTAAGCCACTCCTCATAGGGCTTGTTCTCCAGACTCTTGATCTTTTTAGTTGCCCAGCACTTAAAGCCACTCCTCATAAGGCTTGTTCTCCAGACTCTTGCCCAGCTCTTTAAGCCGCTCCTCATAGGGCTTGTTCTCCAGACTCTTGATCTTTTTAGTTGCCCTCCTCTGGATACAGTTCAGCTTGTCGACATCTCCCTTCAATTGTGGTGCTTAGAACTGGACACAGTATTCCAGATGTACTCTGACCAAGGCAGAATAGAGGGTAGCATGACTTCCCGGGATCTAGACGCTTAAGCGGTTGAGGGGAAAGGAAGGGACCTGAGGCTGTTAGGAATTGTGAGAGTTGAAGTCCAAAACACCCGGAGGGCCCAAGTTTGACCATGCCTGATGTACGCTGTGGAATGAAGGCAGTTTGACACCACTTTCACTGAGGCTGGATCCACATTGCCATATAATCTAGTTTCTGAATTCAGATTATCTGCTTTGAACTGGATTGATTAAAAATTCCAGATTATCAAAGCAGATAATCTGGAATCAGAATCTGGATTATTTGGCAATGTAGACAGGGTCTGATTTGACCCAACTTTATGGGATACTGGGAGTTGTAGTTTGGCGAGGTACTGGTGCTTGTTAAACACAGAAGATTAACACAGTTCCCATGATGCCCTGGCAGTCAAAGTGGTGCCAAACTGCATCCATTTTACAGCAGGCCTGGGCCAACTTGGACCCGTCAGGTGTTTTGGACTTCAACTCCCACATTTCCTAACAGCCTCAGGCCCCTTCCTTTTCCCCATCAGCCACATAAGCTTGGTGAGACCACACCTGGAATATTGTGTCCAATTCTGGGCACAATTGAAGGGAGATGTTGACAAGCTGGAATGTGTCCAGAGGAGGGTGACTAAAATGATCAAGGGTCAGGAGAACAAGCCCTATGAGTAGCGGCTTAAAGAGCTGGGCACGTTTAGCCTGAAGAAGAGAGGGCTGAGAAGAGACATGATAGCCATGTTTAAATATGTGAGAGGAAGTCATAGAGAGGAGGGGGCAAGCTTGTTTCCTGCTGCCCTGGAGACCAGGACGCAGAACAATGGCTTCAAACGACAAGAGATTCCATCTGAACATTAGGAAGAACTTCCTGACTATGAGAGTTGTTCGGCATTGGAACTCTCTGCCCAGGAGAGTGGTGGAGGCTGCTTCTTTGGAGGCTTTAAGTAGAGGCTGGATGGCCATCTGTCGGGGTGGTTTGTATGCCATTTCCCTGCTTCTTGGCAGGGGATCGCACTGGATGTCCCACGAAGTCTAGGATTCTAAGTCACACTCTCTCTGCCTCGTGGGAAAGGCAAAATGGCAAGGAGGAACCAGAGCTGGGTTCAGGTTCACCAAAGCGTTGAAGTGGGTCGGCTTTAGGACCGCGCGTTCCCGCCTTCGCCCTTTTGCCCATAGAAAGGCACAGAGGAGGCGGCAGGGAGAAGCCGAGGAAATCCGACCCTCCTCCTCCTCCGCCCCAAATCACGCGGGAAGGAAGGGAGCCCCCCTCCCCCTCTTTCTCCTTCGTGTGGAGAAGGAAGAAACCCGCGCAAAGCCTTCACAGGCTCTCGGCCAAAGCGTGACGAGATGTAAACGTCGGAGGGAAGGCAGAAAGGAGAACGGAGGAGAATTAAGGCAGCTTGACACCACTTTAACTGCACCCCACGACCCCGTTTATGGGGAAAGCAAGTCTCCGGGAGTTCCGCGGGAACAGAGAGTCATACTTAACCCCCCACCCCCTTACAAAGGTTAGCTCAGGAAGATGACGCTGGAGAAGGGCTTCCAAGGGAAAAGATGCGCGCATATTTACAGCCCATGACCAGACGGTTGCAAAGCTCTTCTTCCTCCCTCCCTCCCTCCCTCCTTCCTTTTCCCTGCGTGGAAGGAAGGAAGCTCTGACGGAGGAGGGAAGGAGCGTCACGTGGAAGTCAGCCCATCGCAGGCCCTTCGCTCCCTCCGGATCCGCGGCAGCACCATTCCCGGAAGAAGGCAGTGAGCCCGGGATCCAGAAATGCGCCCCAAATCCCAAATTTTCCCCGTTGGAGGCTGAGACAGTGGCACCTTTGCAGTCTGAAGCATGAGTGAATTCTTGTTTAAACATGGGTCCCTTATGTTATATTGTATTATACATACATACATATACACGTACACACTTGAATTCTGGTTTAAACTTGGGTCCTATAGATATAGATCTATATATAAATAAAAATGTAATGTTCGTTTGTGGGATTAACAGAACTCAAAAACCACTGGATGAATTGACACCAAATTTGGACACAAGACACCTACTAACTCAAGGAGTGACCATCATTCAAAAAAAAATTGATTTTGTCATTTGGGAGTTGTAGTTGCTGGGATTTATAGTTCTCCAACAACCAAAGAGCATTCTGAACTCCACCAACGATGGAATTGAACCAAACTTGGCATACAGTTCTCCCATGATCAACAGAAAATACTGGAAGGGTTTGGCAGGCAGTGTCCTTTGGTTTTGGAGTTGTAGTTCATCTACATCCAGAGATCACTGTGCACTCAAACAGTGATGGATCTGGACCAAACTCTACACGAATACGCCATATGCCCCAATGTTAACAGTGGTGGAGTTTGGGGAAAATAGAATCTTGACATTTGGGAGTCGTAGTTGCTGGGATTTATAGTTCACCTACAATCACATTGCCACCAAATTTAGCCAGAAGATTCCTATTAACCCAAGGAGTGACCACCACTCAATTTTTTTTCTCATTTAGAAGTTGTAGTTTATGGGATTTATAGTTCACTTACAATCAAAGAGTACTCTGAACTCCACCAATGATGGAATCAAACCTAACAGGGTATACAGGACACCCATGACCAACAGAAAACACTAGAAGGGTTTGGTTGACATTGGCCTTGAGTTTGGGAGTTGTACAACCAGAGAGCACTGTGGACTCAAACAATGATGGATCTGGACCAAACTTGGCACAAATATTCCATATGCCCAAATATGAACACCGAGTTTGGGGGATTTATAGCTACTGGGTTTTATAGTTCACCTACAATCAAAGAGCATTCTGAATCCCACAAACGACAATTGGGGCAAACTTCCCACACAGAACCCCCAGGACGAACAGAAAATACTTAAGGCCATCCAGTCCAACTCCCTTCACGAAGGCAGGAAAATGTAATCAAAGCCCTCCTGACAAAGAGCCATCCAGCCATAGATATATATGATCCACACACAGAGAGAGATATAGTATAGATTTGAAAGGGACCCCGCCAAAAAAGACAATTATATGTAGCATGTTCCACATTAGGCAAACCATACAATCTCCACATCAACACTCACAAAGAAATAGCAAGAAATACTGTTTACCCACAAGCATAAAGACTTTACATATATTAGAAACCAACACTTTCTCATTACTTTATTTTCCAGATCACCAGACTGGGACACAGCAATGTGTGGTAGGGGACGGCTTTTAGATATATAAAAGTCCCTTATATTATAAACAAGAATTCTAGAATATTATAATATAATAAATGGGATCCAAGTTTAAACAAGAATATAATATAATATATGGGACCCAAATTTAAACAAGAATTCATATATATATGAATTCTTGTTTAAACTTGGATCCCATTTATTATATGATATTATATTCTTGAATTGTTATTTAAACTTGAGTCCCTTATATTATATATTATATTCTTGAATTCTTCTTTAAACTTGGGTCCCAGATATTACATTACATTATGTTATATTCTTGAATTCTTCTTTAAACTTGAGTCCCTTATATGATATTATATTAATTATATTATTGAATTCTTGTTTAAACTTGGGTCCCTTATATTATATTCCTGAATTCTTGTTTAAACTTAGGTTCCTTATATTGTATTCTTGAATTCTTCTTTAAACTTGAGTCCCTTATATTATATTTATTATATTCTTGAATTCTTCTTTAAACTTGGGTCCCTTATATTATATTCTTGAATTCTTCTTTAAAGTTAAGCCCCTTATATTATATTAATTATATTCTTGAATTCTTGTTTAAACTTGGGTCCCATACACACACGCACACACGATCCAAGTTTAAACAAGAATATATATGAGAAATAAGTGGCAAGGGGCAGTTCAAAATGGTCCCAGTCATTTTGGGGAAACAGAGGCTGAGTTTGTAAATCCATTTGCGGAATAATAGTCACTTGCCTCTCTTTGGAACACAAAGTGGATCCTTCCACCTCCCCCCCACCTCCGTTCACTACTTGGTATCTCCCTAGTTATGTTACAACACGCCCCCCTCCTCCTCCTGCCCTGGCGCGTGTGCGCATGCGCGCGCCTCCTCCCCTCCGCCTCCTCCCTCCCTCCTTCCTTGCCAACCCCGCCGGAGCTCCTTAAGCGGGTAACCCGATATTCAAAAACAATACGTCATCCCACAATGCCCCGCTGCAAACGGCAGCCTAGGCATTACCTCATCCCACAATGCCCCGCGAGCGGCGAAAGAAAGGGCGGGGCTCGGCGGCGGAGAAGCTTCTAGCCGGGTGGGGTGGCCATGGAGATGGGCGCCTTTGCTTTGCAAACGGGCACAGGCCGGCGGCAGGCCTGGCCCCGCCCCCTTCCCCTCCGCGAGGCGGCGGCGGCAGCCAATGGGAAGGCCGCGGGGTGACATCATGGGCTATTTTTAGAGAGTTACTGCTCGCTGATAAGTGTTGGGACTCCACGCTGGGAAAGAGCTCAGAGTTGAAGCGAGCGCGAGCGCAAGCGGCACGAGAGGGAGGAAGAGCAGGAGCATTCGCCGCCGCCACACGGTTCCCCTCAGAAGGCGAAGAGGAGAAGGAGCCTGCCTCGCTTTTGGGACGCTTTGTGAGGGGAAGACGACGCTGAGGCAGCCCTTCAGGGGGAAAGGCGGCCAAGGGAGAACCCTGAACTTCTTGGGGTGCCCTCCATTTTATATCAGCAGGGATTGAGAGGAGAGGACGCGTCGTGGCGCCTCATTCTTTCCCGACTGGACTCTGGGAACGAGACTTTTCCTCTCCTTCTCCCGTGTGCTTCCTAGAAAACTTCATTTCTCTCCCTGACAGCCGCTCCTGAGAAAGAAGGGAGGCTCCAACAAGTGTGTGTTTGAACAACTCGGCGCAGGACACTCCCACCAGGGACGGAGGGGGTGGGGAGCCTCCATACTTTGAGAAAAAGTAAGTTGTGCTGGACTTGCACTCGCTTTGCCCCTGGATTTCGTACTCTTGGAGATACCAGCCTCTCTTTACTCCCCAGAGGAAAGGGACTGACAAGCCAATGCCTTGTGGCGAAAAAGTAAGACTGTAATCATTGATCCCTCCTGCTTTACAGTTCCTTCTTCGAGTTTTCCCAGCTTAATATTTTGTTGTTGTTGTTGTTGACTTATTTGGTGGCCAGCACTGACTCTGATAAACTTTTTTTTTCAAAAAGTGACTGAATTCGCTGCTTAGTTTCTCAACTGGAGGGGAGCAAACTTGTGGACTGTGTTCTATGACTGCAAAGATGGAACCTACATTTTACGATGATGCCATCAACGCAACCTTCGTCCAGCCTGAAAGCGGCACTTACGGATATAACAACCCCAAAGTCCTGAAGCAGAGCATGACGCTCAATCTGGCTGACCCGTCCAGCAACCTCAAGCCGCACCTGAGGAACAAGAACGCCGACCTGCTGACCTCTCCCGATGTGGGCCTCCTCAAGCTGGCTTCTCCTGAGCTTGAGAGGCTCATCATCCAGTCTGGCAACGGGCTGATCACCACCACTCCCACCCCGACCCAGTTCCTGTGCCCCAAAAATGTCACCGACGAACAAGAAGGTTTTGCGGAAGGCTTTGTCAGGGCTCTCGCAGAGCTGCACAATCAAAACACCATGCCAAGTGTTACCTCTGCTGCCCAGCCGGCCAACTCTGGCATGGCCCCAGTGTCTTCCATGGCTGGAAACAATGGCTTTGGTGCCAGCTTGCACAGCGAGCCTCCTGTCTACGCCAACCTCAGCAATTTCAACCCCAGCACCCTCAGCACGGCGCCTAACTACCCCGCCAGCAACCTGGGCTACCCTCCGCAACATCACCTGAACCCTCCCATGCCGGTGCAGCATCCCCGCCTCCAGGCTCTGAAAGAAGAGCCTCAGACTGTCCCAGAGATGCCTGGGGAGACTCCTCCCCTGTCACCGATTGACATGGAGTCCCAGGAGAGGATCAAGGCGGAGAGGAAGCGCATGAGAAACCGCATTGCCGCCTCCAAGTGCCGGAAAAGAAAGTTGGAGCGGATTGCCAGGTTAGAAGACAAAGTGAAAACTTTGAAAGCCCAGAACTCGGAACTTGCCTCCACAGCAAACATGCTGCGAGAGCAGGTTGCGCAGCTGAAACAGAAGGTCATGAATCACGTCAACAGTGGGTGCCAGCTCATGCTCACACAGCAGTTGCAAACTTTTTGAAAAGAGAGTGGGAAGCAAACTGCGTTGGGGTGAAAATTAAGCAAAAAGAAAGAGAGGTGGGAGTTGGGAAACTCACCTGGGTTGTGGGGCAGGAAGACAAGCCGGAAAGGCATTGTTCCAGAGAGCGCTTCCACGACTCCCAACACCACTTCCAAAGCATGCATGGAGAGAAAGAGACTGGGTGCCTTTCTGTCTGAGGTGGTGGCATGTCAGTTGGAAGTACAGCTCTCCGAAGTGCTGTTTCTGCTCAGACAAGGCTACAGAAGCCTGGTGTTAGCTTTTTCTTTCTTTCTTTTTAACATTGACCAAGACCTGCATGGACCTAACATTCAATCATCATTCAGTATTAAAGGTTAAACTGCAGTAGATACTGTAGATTGCTTTCTCTTAGTACTCATTTTTTTTAAAAAAAAAAAAGTGGGGAGGGAGTTTGTGGGAGGCTAATGACTGAAGCTGAACTATACTGCCTGCCTTAGAGTCCAGTTGTGTATGTACAGATACTCTTTTTTATTTTGTGACAGCTGATAAATATCAAGTAAAACTACTTCATGACTTTGTAAGTTATTTTTATGTTCATGTGGGTTCAAGCCCAGTATTGTTTGTAAATAAGAGGATTTTTTTAGCAACCTTGAGTTTTTTTTCCATTTGTAATAAAGTATATAATTTTTTATGTTTTATTCTGAAGAAATGAAGAAAGGGTAGGTCATATTTAAGAAAATAATACTTTGCCCACTTTCTTTGATTAGTGCCATTAAGGCTACAACACTATATACACTTACCTAGGTGTAAGTCTCATTGAACAAAGTGGGGTTTACCTCCGAGTAGACACGTGTAACATTGCACTGTCAGGCATATGCAGAATCAACTTGTGGTTAGATGTTAAAACTTCACTAATGCTATAAGTGGGGGAGGGGGATCGAGTTCTGTAAATTCCACACTGGGTTAGTATGTAACAGCAGTGTAATCCTTTTTTTTTTTTTTAAAGAAGAAGAGAGTTCTGTACTCCTGTTATAATAAAGCTATTGGTCTTTAGAGTACTGTGTGTCCTCTGTCACTGGAATACAAGAGGATGTGTTAAATGAGCCCCCATGGTCTGTTTTACAAGCTACTAACATAGTTTTCACAGAGATGAAGAAAAGTGGGAAAAGAGGATGGGATTCCTGTGTATCCACGCCCCTTTGTGATGACTTCTATAAAATATAATTGGTTATTTCCTATTTGAGATATTCTGTGTTAAGCAATTACATGCCTAAAGATAGGTGAAAGTGTTCAAAAAGGGAATCTTCACATGCAGAATTTGTCACCTTTATTTTTTTTTTTGTTAACTCTTTGATAAAAGATGAAATCTGTTCATGAGTATTTACAACTATGCCTGTTGTCCAATAAAATCATTCTATTACTCTTTCAATGTGTTTGAATTCCTCTTCCCTCTTGGTTTTTTTATATATAAAAAGGTAAACTAACTTCACAATAAATGAGAGCAGCAAATGTAACTTTTGAGTTGGGACAACACTTTTGAAACTTGGGGTGTAAAATATATAAGCATTTACAATAGAATTCTTTGTTTTTCAGGAGTTGTGAAGCTGGACGAGAACTATATATATCACAAATCTAAATTCCACTAAAACAAGTGAGATATATCTAAGTAGATGTCTGGTGCTGCAGTCTTACCATTACAATACAAACATGTTAAAAATGTAATACAAATGTCTGGTTGCTGATGACACAATAAATAAATAAATACCATTACAATGTGGCAGTACTTATTCCTCATACAGCAAGCATCAGGCTATATGTTCATTTGTTTTACTGCACAGTACAATATAAGTAATAGCCCAGTCTTACCTTTGTAAATTCTTGTGGGGATATCCTATGCACACTTGCTAAGCAACAAGCCCTCCTCACCTCATATTCTATGTATACTTCTGAGTATTCCTAGCCTAAAAATCCTTATGAAATTCACAGTATGTCAGTAGGGGACTTGAAAGCATATACACACAGTTCTCCACATGGAATACATAAAAGGTGATTTTGTAATTTTAAAGTTATTTTGAGTCCTCTTATATTAAATTTTGTTAAATCAAAAACAGCAAGAAAAGAGACAGTTGTTGAATACTGAACCATTAAAATCATATTCTTGAGAATAAATAATATTCCCAAAAAAAGCAGTAGAAAGTTGTAATCTTGGGGTGCATCTAGACCAGGCATGGGCAAACTTTGGCCCTCCAAGTGTTTTGGACGTTAACTCCCCAATTCCTTAACAGCCTACCAACTGTTAAGAATTTTGGGAGTTGAAGTCCAAAATACTTGGAGGGCCAAAGTTTGCCCATGCCTGATCTATACTGTAGAATTACTGCAGTTTGACATCACTTTAACTTCCATGGTTCAATTCTATAGAATCCTGGGGTTTGCGGTTTGGTGAGGCATTAGCACTCTTTGGCAGAGAAGGCTAAGAATCTGGTAAACTAAGAACTCTCATGATCCCATAGCACTGAACCCTGGCAGCTAAAGTGGTGTCAAACTGCATTAATTTTACAATATCAGTGAACAAGGCTACATTGATAGATTACAGTTTCCACCTTTTGTTGGGGAGGGGTATTGTTCTCAGTGCATTCTATGGCCAATAGAAATTGAGCAAGGTGAATTCTTCCTTTGGTGGAAATGGAGTGGCAGCTATTTTCCAAGGTTTCTACTTACCAGGCTGCTACAAAAACATAGAAGGAAAGATTGTGTTGTGCTCAAACAAAATGTGGATTTAAAAGTTTGCTGTCATTGAACTATGACACAATTTACAACGGAATTACTTAGAAGGGATTTCAAGTCATGTCAAATCTATGTCTCTAAAAACTTTGCCATCAGGGAGCAATCCATGTCATTTATGTATAATGCCACACACACACACACACACACAATCCACTCCAATGGCATGCTAATTTAAAGTGGAGAGTTAGGGTGCATTTAAATTGTAGAAATAGTGCCATTTGCCATTTCTTTAATTGCCTTGTCTCAATGCCATGGAATCAAGAGAGTTGCAGTTTCTGAAGGTCTTTAACATTTGCCAACAAGTACTGGTGCCTTACCACACTGCAATTCCCATGATTCCATAACACATAACCATAGTAGTTAAAACTGTGCCAACCTGCATTAATTATACAATGCAGATATATCCTCAGTAGGGAAATTTCAGCTTCACCTGCTGAATTTCTTCCTGTTTTGCAACTGTAAGAGAAGGGAGGATGGCAGCCAAAGTTATTAGAAGCTGGAAATATTTTCTGACTATTCAGAGTATCCAGGAGTATCCTAATAAAAGTGTCTAGGTTTGGATTATATAATCTAGTATATAGCTATATTTCCTTGTACTCCATATCCCAGGATCCTTTATACAATGAGTTGGATGAATAGAGGTCAAAGATTTCCTCTTTCCCTTATTTGTACACATCGACAGGTGTAATGTCAGCACATATTTTTTTGTTTACTGCTATCAGATATGCACCTTTGTATCAATAGTTACCAAACAAAGAGTTACTGGGAGGGTCATGTACATTGCTGGGTGTAGTGCTGACATGAGCCGCCCGGAAGGTAACTTGATTTTTGACCATATGTAGACACAGATAGGAGAGCAGCACAGCTGGGTGTGGCTTTGAAGGTAACTACTCAACAAGTGCCAGCTAGCAAAGTAAGCAAAGATACCTGGAAAGGTAAAGCCATAATTCTTTAATGATGTTCTAGTGACAAAGAACAATTTTACTGTCCCAAAATATTTGGGTCATTGTTGAGCTGACTGCCATAATTCAACTGCCAATGTGTATACAGTTCCTTGATACTTCCAGGAATAATGCATTTCTTGATGTACCACTCCTATTTTAAAAGTTTTTCAGCCATTTTCAATACCACTCTCCATGTGAAAAAAGTCCCTGAGAATTTCAGTGTAGGTTTAAAGGAGGAATTCTAAAACATTCCATTGGGTTCCCCTAAGCCAAGAAGAATAACACTACAATGTCCCCTAATACTGTATACAAATACAAATATCAGTGCTATGAACTCACCAGCACATTTGAGGTCAAGAACAAATATGGAAGGGTACCAGCTTTTGTTTCTGGTATGACATTTGTGGCTTTATGACAAGTTGTATGAAATACGGAATTTCATTTCCTAGCATGAAGATCTGGTAACTGCAAAACAGTCTGGACTCCATTTTTGCCAGTTGTGCTGTTATTATAATGCCACAGCCACTCTGCCAACTAAGTTTAAGAGTCGATTGACTCCACTAGTGTAGATATGCTGATGGCAAAGGCAATTGGTGGCATGAAGAAAAGGCTGGCAATAGTGGAAAATTGCCATGTAAAGGTAAGGAAGCTGCCTGATTCAAATCACCCATTCATTAAATGCTTGACTTATGGGATGGTGAGACTGTGGAGCCAAGACAATTTGGGAAAGGTGAGATGGATGGTTGCCTTTGCCATGCCACTTCTTTCATTGTGCCTCAGCTCCAGGGGTCTCTACTCATTGCCCTGAGACTCGAGATATTTGACCTCTAGATATCTAGCATCTGACATCTTTCTTTGCTCACCACTCATCTGCCCCATTCCTGTGCCAGAGAGGAGAGAATTCAAAGACATAGCCATGTTAGTCTGGAATATAAGTATCAAAGGGATCTTGTAGCATCTTAAAGACTAACTGGTAGAATGAGTTTGATAGCATAAGCTTATGCTACCAACTTCCTCCTCTGAGGCCCCATCTACACTGACTGTTTAATAAAGTTCTAAGCAAGCTTCAAACTGCATTGGCCAGACAATGAATATTTACAAAAGCCAAGGAAATAAATCCTTTAATGTGCACCAGTGCTCTGTAGTTTGTGTAATTATCATCCAGGCCTCCAACATAAGATATCCTATGAAATCATCAGCACAGCAAAAATACTTTCTTCAATATTCGTTTGAAACTGACAAGGATTCAATGTAGATGTGTGCAAGTGGAGAAAGAGTAGAAAAATGCATTAAATAAATTCATTCTTACAATATCAACTTTACATCAAACAAAAAAAAAACAATTGGCTATTTTTTTACATCACTTAAAAGCTTGGACAGTAGCTTTCTTGCTTTTTAACAGATATGTAAGAGAACTTACCAGTGAGTAATCCTGTGATACCTTAAATACAAAACATGCTTAATCTGCATAAGCGGTCATGTACTAGAACTTGCTTTACCAGATAACATGAAATATTATCCGAAATTGGCAGGTACACAGAGACATGGTTACAGAGGGAAACAATTTGTAAGCAGTGAGTTCAAAAATATTGTCGAAGGCTTTCATGGCCGGAATCACTGGGTTGTTGTAGGTTTTTCCGGGCTATATGGCCAAAAAAAATTGCCTCCAGAACATGGCCATATAGCCCGGAAAAACCTACAACAATCCAGTGAGTTCAAAACTTTCTTCATCTCCCCATTACTACAGTTCCTTGCAGGGCAGTTTTATTAAGTCAAATGCAGCAAAAACAACAAGCACCTTAAAAGCACACATTTGCTAGTCTTAAGCCTTAGTGGACTCCAGCCCATTTTACATATGGCATATAAACTTTAAGGTGTCACAAGAGCTGTTGTTACCTACCTATACTGCAAAATAAGCTTCATTTGTTGACGTTGGACTGATTTTACATAGTAAATTTGCAGATTTTGTCCATAAAAGCACAGCATCCTCAAGGAATATATAGGAGTAACTAATGTCAGTTTTCAGGTATCTAAGTAAGTGATCTGTGTCCACAAAAATGCTGTGGTATAAGAAATGTATTAGTCTTTAAGGCATCACAGACCTCTGGAGTTCCCACATGGGAGACCAAAATGAAGCAAGAAAATAAAGCTATTGAAAATGGCAAACCTCTAAGTAAAGATCTACTAGATTAGAATTAAAGCTTGTGTGTCCAGTATTCTGATTTCCAGAATTGGTAACCTAGGCTCCGTGGGAGACCTACTTCACTGGATATGACAGGCACATTGTTTTGCCATTGTTGTTCTCCCTTGACTGATATTCAGAGGTCTGCTGCATCTGAATCTTTAGATAGTTTATGGTTGACTATTAGCCATTGAGCATTGAATTTGCCCTCTTTGAATGCCAGAGAAATGGATGAGATCAGCAGACACATAAAGTCCCACATCGGAAATGTTCTCAATAATATTACTTCACGAAATTCAGTGGTCTGATAATCTTGGCAGCTTTATTGGCAAGATTTTTGGGAAAACCATCAGCAAAATGTGTTAGACTGATGAATGTACAAGTTAGTTGAATTGCTGGCAATGTGTTAAACTGGCAAGCCCAGAATGAAAGGTGCTGTGCCACTGAAAATCAGCACTATAATTCAACATAATGCCATATTTTATCAGCAAACTAGGTAAACTTTAAGTGAAAGATATT